TTTCTTCTGAACAAACTGCGTTGCATTCCTCGGAGCCGCAACACTTTCTTATCAACTCCACTGTTGAAAACAGAGCAAGTGAAATAGAGCAAAACCACCTCCACAACTATGCCCTCTCCTATGCTGGCAGTGATAACATCATTCTGGCCTCTAAAGATATGTTTGGGCCCAACAACCGAGGTATAGACAAAGGTCTCCAGTGGCACCATCAGTGTCCAAAGTGCACAAGAGTATTTCGGCATCTGGAAAACTATGCTAATCATTTAAAGATGCATAAACTATTTATGTGTCTGCTCTGTGGCAAGACATTCACTCAGAAGGGCAATCTCCACCGGCACATGAGAGTGCACGCAGGCATCAAACCTTTCCAATGTAAGATCTGTGGGAAAACGTTCTCTCAGAAATGTTCCTTACAGGACCATCTCAACTTGCACAGTGGGGACAAGCCCCACAAGTGTAACTACTGTGACATGGTGTTTGCGCATAAACCCGTTCTGAGGAAACACCTTAAACAGCTACACGGTAAAAATAGCTTTGACAATGCCAATGAAAGAAATGTTCAAGACATAACAGTGGACTTTGATACATTCACATGTAGCGCTGCTACAGACAGTAAGGTCTGTCAGCAAGCTGATGCAAGCCAGGTACTGGATGCAGGGAAGCTGCCTCAGGCTGTGCTTGGTTTAAGAAATGATAGTACCTGTGTCAATTGAGCAGTTAAAACCAGCCCTTTGCAGAGATCATGACTGAGGAGCAGGCAGCTGGTTTGGGCTCTTACCTAAGCTAGTGGTATGCCCTGAAAGGCAATGAATGGGTGGATGGATGGAAGGATGATGGCAGGTTGGATTGCAAAACCTGGCAGGTCTCCAGCCACCATTCTTAGTCTTACTTGATATTTTCTGTGAATAGCAATCTTCCTTCAGGTTTCTGTCTGCGTCTCTACTGTGGATTACGGGGTTAATTGTTTAATTTCTCAATGATTAGGAGACTCAAGACTAACACCTTTTGAAAGACTGTTGCTGTGGGCTGCCAGTAAACCATCTGCTGTACAGTTAGAGGACTCTGTGTCTGGGCAGGTGGAGGAGAGAGCAAAGAGGACAAGTCTATGAGATAACCCAATTTATTTTTTTTTAATCACTGGATAACTGAAAGCACTCCATATAGTTAAATTTAAAATTACCTCTTAAAATTCCCTTTCTCCGGTCTTATCTCCAGACCCCTACAATTGAAATGAAGTATTTTTGTGTCACTCTTTTGCCCTTTCTAAACTATTTCAAGGAAATTCTGCTGCCAGTCAATGCTATCTTAAAAGCTCTCAGGGTTTTTAACCTCAACATGCATTACGAAAAGATAAAACCCTAAATGATATGGCAGGGTTACCTGGTCATTGCATAGAACTGTTCAAAATGAGAAGAAATGGCAGCTCTGGGATGTGAGAGGCTGGTGTCTGGAGTGCAAGTGTGACCTATGTCTTACACTCTCATACTTGGGATTTTTAAAGGGCACTTAGCAGTGTATGTACTGACTGAGACAAGCTAAACACTTCAAAACTAAAAATGATCACTCATCTTCCATAAATTTTGCATCACGTAAACCACAACAGCTGTTAATTTTAGAGCAAAGCTGGAGTGGAGAAATACTGCTTTTTAACACTGTGAAAAGAAACTGTTTTCAAAGCTGCAAATGTATGAGAACTCCATGCCTTGCTTTTTTTTGTTCTTGTATATTTCTCCTTGATAGCTAATAAGGGCCACATGTCAGTTAACTTGAAAAAAAAGGAACAAAAATACTTGCCATAGGAATGTTAACAACAAAGTTAATATTTTTTTTAAAGTGCCCTGCATAGTTCACGGCCACTTATGTTTTACAGAGCATAGAATGAGGTATAGGTAACACAATTTCCATAGGTTAATATAGCAGCTATAGCTGTACTCAGCAATACCTCTTGTATACCGCCTTAAACATCAAATGTAGCGGGAATGGCATGTTAATTGGGATTCTGGGATTATACCATATTACTTCTCAAAAGTGCCATGGAATTATCCGCATCCCAATCAGGCTGAAAGTAATTTATGAGGGACACCATTCCCAGTAGAACAGCACTCTATTACACTGAAGTGTAGCATAAACTAATAATGAAATGGCTGATCCTCTGTAGAGAACTGCTGTTTGTATTTGGAGTATTTCTTCCAATGCAGCTCTTTTCCACAAGGTTTGCATGAGGCTGAGATTATGCTTCCTACCTAAAAGTAGTACTGTTTGTGTGTCTGAATGACAGGGTGGGGGTGAAAGGCTGCTATTGTATGGTTAAAAATGCTAAACCGGTATGACCAAAGGTGTGTTAGAGCAAAAAATGGTTTGTATGTAATTATCAAAAGCTGGTCTTGATCTTCAGATCCATGTGTGTAAAAGCCAGGATTCCCTTACACAGGCATTACACTGATGGATGTTAATGTTGCAGAACGTTTTCAGAAACCCACATAGGTTCAAGTAGAAAAGCGAGGTGATTCTGTGAATCAGATTTTGCAGTTGTGTTCTTAAACTACTGTACTTGACTGTTACATGAACTGTTCCATGGACAGCTATGAAGTAAGCAATGGAAATGGAGTCAGGGCATTACGTCTTTCAAGTTGTAGCAGATATATTTAGTCCTAAAATCTATTTGGAACTTTCAAAAGGTTCAGGTTCCTGGGGCAGAAGGTTCGCATAGGAAGGGAAACTGTTTCTCCTCTTAAAGCCACCTGCTTTCAGAATTGTTTTGAGCTAAAACTGAAGGTGGTGGTTGCAGGTGACATTTGCATTTTGTGTTCTGGCAGAATCTTCTGTACTGTGCAAACATTTTGATAATACATTACTCGCTATATGGAAATAAGCTATAGCACTAACATCAGAATGAAGATAGACGTGGAGAATAAGAGCTTGCAGAGCCAGGTCAACATGCTGTAAGGGATGAGTGAACAGCCTAACCAGATATGAATATGGATGTGGTAAAGAAAATGATCTTCTGCTAGAGAAAGGAGTAAAACTGTGCAAATGCTAGAAAAAGTGGCAGCAAAATGGATGGTATTGAAAGCTTTGTCTGGGAAGTTTGTTGGTTTTGTGGAATTATGAAGCTGTAATCCTACTGTAGAGAGACTACAGCTTGTTGAAGCTGATACGAAGAGACAAGGGGGTTTCGTAAGGAACAAAAAAATGATTTGGTCAAGATACGTAAGTTTTCAGTCCACCCTGTGCTGTGGCAATGTCAACATCTGAGAAGGCTGGGACTGCATTCACTGAAAAGGCTGCTTTGGGGTCATTTGGTGAGACCATGGCAGAAGTAAATAGGAAAAAGCAGAAATGCAGAAGACTGCTCCTTCAATGAAAATGGACACATCTGTTGGATGAACAGTGACTTCTTACTAATGTCTGTGCTTTTGGCCTGGCCAAAGGGTGCAGGCTTATAAACCTCAAAAAGGTTTATGCAGGAGATGGTTGTGTGACTCCAGAAGCACTGGAGATCTAAGAGGGCAGTACACTGATGACATGGTGCAGAGCACGCTGGTGGCAGAGTTCATGTAAAACTTGCCCCTATAAGAAATAGACAAGTGAAGAGTATAGGAGAGGTATTAGAGCAGAAAAATCTGGCTAATGCTTCTCTGAATTGCAGATGAAAATGGAGTGAGAATTATTTTAAATTAAATACACAGAGGCAGCTTGTTTTCTGTAGAATAAGGTGAACTTAATGGTCCATGTATGTAAAATGTTGTCTTCATCGCAATGTTCCAGTTAGTGAAAGACTAGATCCATTGGTTGTTGCTACTGATGCTGCATATTCAGACGAGGACTATGGCAGTTATCATATTCTGTGTGTTAATGTGTAGAATACTATTTGCTGGTAAGTGGATAGTCTCACAAGTTAATGTGCTGTACAACTTCCTGCATATTCTAAAAATAACTGAAGTCTATTACAGAAATATTTTAATAACTCCTTGAATATATTAGGTTTGGTTTTTTTTTTATGTTGGCATTTAATTTATTTATTTTATATAGAAGAAGAAAACCTTAGAACTGTTAGGTTTACCAGTGGTTTAGGCTCACCACTTTTCCAAGTGGTGGTAGCTTGTGTAGCATGTGTTCCTGTGGCTTCTGGTGCAGCTGCAGAGCCTCCTGTATAGATCAGGGATGAGTATTTATTTTTCTTTTAGAAGACACGTTTTGCAAATTAGTAACTGATAAAGTTGAAGTGTCAGTCTTTTTTCTAACCTAGCTTTTTTGGCAAAACTTAGCTGCCCGCTGGACTTTTGATGGAGTAACTTCATTGTGTGGGGCTGATTTTGGTTCTGGAGTCATTGGGAGGAGTAAAGGCAAGGAGGGAGAATCGAGATGCGATACAAACTAAAACTGTTAAGAGAACTGTAAAGTCACGTTCAATCTTTATTTTTAAAGACAAAGAGGGGAACGCGGGTTGCCCTCCTGATGTGGTAAGGGTTGAGAAGGTAGAATGGACGTTTTTCCTTGGAGACTGTATAATCGAAGGACTGAGCATTAGCTACCTCTGCAGTGACTGGGCAAAAGTCTCATTCTACGCGTTGTTACCAAAGCAGGCGGTCGGTGGCTGTCGGTAGCTTCCTCCCCGCTCGGGGGCCGGGGCAAAGCCTGCTGCTCTGCCCGGCGCTGCGCCTTTCCCTCGGCCTGTTCTCGCTGATGGCGCCCGCCCCGGGGCGGGACGGAGCCTCCGGTCCGCTGCTGTCCGAGATGCCTTACAGGGGCGGCGGCCCGCGGAGCCCCGGGCCCGTACGTTGCTACCTCTACCGGACGTTTGGCGAGGCGCGCCCCGGTGTCGGCGCGGTGTCCCCCGGCGGCAGCCGCTGTAGCAGTGCCAACTCTCATAATAAACGTGCTGCTAACTCTGTCTCCCGCCGCCTCTCATTGCTCACCGCGGTAACGGTACCGGGCGGGGTGGGAGAACAAGAGGAAGGGGCGGGCGGACCGAAGAGCGCTGGGGCCGGTGCCGGAAGGGGCGGGTGGAGGAAGCGCTTCCGGCGCTCTGCGGTACCGCCGGCGGAGCACGCACCGGCTCGGGAAGCGGCCGGTGAGCAGGAGGGAAGGAGGGCGGGCGGCTCGGCGGAGCCCGTCAGCCGCCGCGGAGGAGAGCGGGGCCGCTAGCGGGGGTGGCCTGGGCTCGGCGGGACTCTCCGGTGGTTTCCCCTCAGGAGTAGCGCCATGGCAGCGGACTCGGAGGTGCTGCACTTCCAGTTCGAGCAGCAAGGGGATGCCGTGCTGCAGAAGATGAACCTCCTGCGGCAGCAGAACCTCTTCTGCGACGTCTCCATTTACATCAACGACACGGAGTTCCAGGGGCACAAGGTGATCTTCGCCGCCTGCTCCACCTTCATGCGGGATCAGTTCCTGCTCAATCAGTCCAGGCAGGTGCGGATCACCATCCTGCAGAGCGCCGAGGTGGGCAGAAAGCTCCTGCTCTCCTGTTACACCGGCGCTCTGGAAGTCAAAAAGAAGGAGCTGCTGAAATACCTCACTGCTGCCAGCTACCTCCAGATGGTTCACATTGTGGAGAAGTGTACTGAAGCTTTGTCGAAATACCTGGAGGTTGATGCTTCCATGGAGAACCAGGCTGCGGAGAGGTGCCATTCCTCAGATGCTGAACTGAGAAACGGGGATGAGGGTTTAGATAAAGACTGTGAAATAATTGAGATCTCTGAAGACAGCCCAGTGAATGTTGAGTACCCTGTGAAGCAGGAGACTGGGGACACCTTGCAACCCATAGTGCAGAGCGTGATCTCGGAAAGGAAGGACCCCAAACCCTCGGAAATATCAACAGTTGAGATTGGATACAAGGATGAAGAAATCTGTATCTTCAGAATGGATTCTATGAATGTTGCAAATGTAGATAATGATAATTTTCCTCAGCCTTGCACTTCCTCTAAAACAAATTTGTATTTTCCAGAAACCCAGCACTGCTTGATAAATTCTACAGTTGAAAGCAGAAATACAGAAATGCCAGGAAATCACTTCCAGCCTTTAGTCAATGACAATCCAGAAGGAACTTATGGTGGGACAAACGGCTTCCAGAGCGTGGATGACTCCAGCAATTCATGGCGGCACCAGTGTCCAAAGTGTCCCAGGGGATTTCTGCACCTTGAGAACTATCTCAGACATCTGAAAATGCACAAACTCTTCTTGTGTTTGCAGTGTGGCAAAACATTTACACAGAAAAAGAACCTGAACAGACACATCCGGGGGCACATGGGCATCCGCCCATTCCAGTGCATGGTGTGCTTGAAGACCTTCACAGCCAAAAGTACACTCCAGGATCACCTGAACATACACAGTGGGGACAGGCCCTACAAGTGTCACTGCTGCGACATGGACTTCAAACACAAGTCTGCTCTTAAAAAACATTTAACTTCCGTTCATGGAAGGAGTAACAGTGAAAAACCAAACCTGGACACTGTTACGACGGTTAAAATAGACTATGATTAATAGATGGGTGGGATTGTCCACAAAAAGCTCCTGCCTAGTGAAATTCTAGGTGAAATTCTAGATACGGATTCCTGGAGAGAAGCACAAACACGAGTGGTGGTCAAAAACATGCCTTGCAAGCAGCAAACTTGCCTGCTGCTTTAAGGTTCCTGTTGATGTAAGTGCGAAAAAGGTGTTTACTAGCCAAAAGCAAACTGCAAAATAGGGGAAATTATTTCATGCTTCTCTTCTATTATTCTAGTTGCATTCTGATTTCCTCCCCCAGTTATTCTTTGCACTCCCCTGTTTCAAGGGCAAGTGCTGACAATTTTTAATCTATTACCAATATTGCAGTAAACTGAACCCTGAGTGATGTTTGTGACCCATAGTGGCTAAGGAAAGGGGATGTTTGTATTTATTCAGTTAGTTGTTCCCACCCAGCTCATGTTACCGTTTACAGTGAAATCATCTCCTTCCTTGCCCAGACTTTGCGAGATCCTTCAACAGAAAGAAGGCATGTTTTCATACTCAAGTCTGTGATAATTAAGAAAGAACACAGAGCAAACAAAAGATAATCAAGCTTTCAAATCGCCTCTTGCAAATAGTGAATGGGTAAAAGAAAAACAGTGTTGCCTTGCAGTTCATTTTCAGCTGAAGAAGAAGGATTTGCTTTCAGTTTTATGAATGAGTTCTGAATTTTTCTAAACAACTTCTGACCTTTTTTTCCGTCATACCCGTTTTGCACCTATATTTGACTTATTCTGAATAAGTTATTTGTGTTTGTTGAGTTGTAACATTTGCCTTCATTTTTTTACAAGACACATATGCTCGTATGTAAAATGAAGCAGTGTGCTGATACATAATAGCAATTTCTACATTACTTTTAAAAAACAATCCTGTATATCTCATTAGGAATGGCTTAGACATAGAGGTCTTCTCATACTCCTAACTCTGTGATACAGTAAAATGGTAATGGTGTGTGTTTGGGTAGGTGTGTTTGTACTTTGTCAAAGGTTATTGCAGTTTTATCACCAGCATCCAAAGCCATATAATGCAGAATTCTTCATCCTGTACCTGTCTTTGACTGGTATATGTTTCTTCCACTTAATGTGATATGAATAAAGAGTCAATTCAGTTAATATGAGATAATGGTACTTACGTTAGATGCTCTCCAACTAAGAAGTGATGGTTTGTAATCCTGTCTGTATCACGAGGGTACCTGTTCCTTCAAGTGTTCCTTCCGGTTTCCGAAGGGTGCTTGTGACGTTCTTGCTCTGAATACAGAAGTCATAACCCAGCTGTTTGTAAAATCCAAGACAATAGTTTTTAATGTCAGTTAACAGGTTTTGGTTACTTTCTTCCCCTGTGTCTGTGAGTGCACCAGTTGTTTTGGGGTTCATCAGTTACATGAGCGGTTCAGTGTGTAGCTGTTCCATGTGACAGGCACACTCAGCTGTGCCAGCACTACTCCTGTCTTTATCTCTTGGAAATTCCAGCTGAAGAGTCCTAAAAATGTGTTTCATGAGGGGCTTTTTAAGCTCTTCATCTGGTATTATTAACACTTAAAAGTACGTATTAGTTGGGCTGCAGCAGAATTTGCAGGCCCCAGTTCATAGCAGGCCTTGCTGTGGTAAGCAGCATGTGTCTTCCTCAAAAGCCAGGTTGTCTGAACAGGCAATTCCTGTGTTTTGCTCCAAAAATCCACAAAAATGTCTGACTACATAGATAAAATCACCTGCTACATCCAGTACTTTAAGCAGAAGGCCCAACCTTTCACAATGTCTGCTATTATATTAAATAATTTCCTTTACTTCAGTGATTTTCAACTATAGGAATTATCATGACAATTAAGAGGTTTGGGAGTCATCTACAGTGCGACCGCCTAATGCTTTGCAATCAAAAATGCATTTTAGCACTGTGTTCTGTTTGCATTTATGAGTCTGTCACTACTTACAGCCTTTTGACCCTGTGGTTGGTATTTCCTTGCTTTTCACAGAATACCATTAATTTTTGGTTCCTAATTGCATATAAATTAAGTCTAATTTTTAAAAGCATGCTGAGACCCGCACTTGCCATTACTATATTTACAGATGTTAACTTGGGTGTAGGTACAAGTTTGTATGTAGCTTTTCATTTGTGTCTGCAGACTTAGTTACTTAAAATAAACTCCTCCATCCTTGGAAGAGGTCATAAAACAAGGAAAAAGTTAACTTCCCTCCCCCCATCCCTTTTACATTGGGCTTCTATCACTGTAGTTCAGTAAATAAATGTATTGTGCATTCATGGGACAGATTTGGTTCAACTGTGCTGAAATTTGTTCTGTTAATACTTATTTTTGGCAGGTGTATGATTATCATTCAGAAGATCATGCCTTGGTTTTTGTTTGACTGGTTTTGATGGGTGCATACATAGGTATTTCCCTGTGTGTCCAAGGAGGAAACAGGCTGGTCTTTTGAAGTGCACCTTACATGGGAGCAGGAACATGCATTGTTTTGGTCTGCTGTTGTATTGCATGTAAACACGGGAGAGTTGTGTTGTGCGACGGGCCAACAGCATGTTCTGTTCAGTGGCTCGAGTGTTTTGGTGAGCTTTGTGAACAAAACCGGAGTGTGTGCACTTTCCCGTTAAAGGTGTTCCCTCTCCTTGTCCATCCATGTAACCACTCATCCTGTCATAGTACAATAAATTAAATACAAACAAGATGCCGTTTCAGAAATACATATGCTTTCTTCTAATCGCGGCTAAATAATTACCTGCGTACCTTGGTGTTTAGAATTTTGTTTGCTGTGGCGAGTTGTAAACAAAATACGTTGTTCAAGTCACGGTCATTTAGTAAAGGGGTTTTCTGTCCTTCAGAAGAGTCAGGCTGACCTATTTCTTCTTATAGAACGCTTCCTCCGCAGCAGTCACAACTCTGCACCTCCTCGGCTCTGGTTAACGACCCTGGTTTGATCTTTGTGAGTGACCAGAGGAGCGAGGTGCCTGTTCTTGTGGTGAAGCACCAACCCGGCTCTTTCCCTCATGCCTGTCCTGAGGCGGCCTCACCCCGTGGTGGGCATCAGGGCAGCCGACCACCGCCAGAGACGTCCTCCAAGCCCCTCATCCCTCTTAGCGCTAATAATAATGCAGTTATTAATTAGTATATAAGATAAATGACCGACACTGTCAGTGAAAACCCCGCTCTTCAGCGCTGAGGCGCCACTCAGATGAGGCGCGCCACAAGGGGGCGCTGACAGCGGCGTCTCCCGCCGCTCTGCAACTCTATCTCTATGGTTCCCGCTTTCCCATGGCGGCGGCGAACGTCCGCCGTCGCGTCTGCTCCCCCGTCTCGATGGTTAGATCCCCCAGGCCCAGCTCCCACAATGCGCCGCGGCGGTCACGCGCGGGGCGGCCGCTGCGCTCGCTGGGTCTCGCGAGAGGGGGCGTGGCGGCGCTCCCGGCTGTCAGCGCGATGAGGCGGCGCCGCCGAGGCCCCCGCCGCTGCCCCCGCCGCTCCGCGCCGCGCTGCCCGCCCCATGGCGTGTGAGAGGCCGGGGCCGCCGCCTGCTCCCGGCCCCGCCGCCCGCGCCTCCCAGGTAGGAGCGGGCTGGGCGGGGGCGGCCGGCGAGGGGGACGCGGTGACCCGGCGGGGCCCCGCCCGCACCCCCACCCCCCCCCCTCCCCTTCTCCCTCCGTCCCTTCCTCCTTTTTCCCCCGCCTCCCGGTGCCCTGCAGGGTCCCGGCGCTGCGGAATCCGGGCGGGGAGCGGGGCCTGGGCTCGCCCGCCGAGCGCGGCCTGTCAGCGCCGCCGCCCCGCTGCGGCGCGGGGGAGGGGGCTGCCGGCTGCTTCCCCCCCCCCGCTCCCCGCCGCCGCTAGGCCGCTGGGCCAGCCGGGGGCGCGGGGCAGCCATTTGGTGGTGGTGGCTCCGGAATGACGCCGGGCGCAGGTGCGCGGCCGGCGGCTGCTGACAGCGGCCTGGCGGAGGGGGGCGAGGGGAGCGGCTGGGCCGCTCTGCGCCCGCACCGGAGGGCTTGAGGCCGGGAGGTTCCCGGTTACGGCGCCGGCAGCACCAGGCGGCCTGTGCTGTGGTGTCCTCCGTAGAGCCGCACCGGCGTCCGCAGCGGCCCTGCTCAGGTGGAAATCTGCTTCGGGGTAATGGTGGAGGAGAGTCACGGTGGAAAACGGGCCTTGGGATTGCGCCTGTCATGTCATGTTTGAAGTGTTTTAGAAACCCAAAACAACTGATCCGGAAGAGCGTGTCTTGGCTCTGCTGGTGCGCAGAAAGCATAAGAGAGGGCAGCGGTGTGGTTGGAGAGTGATGAGCTCTCGGTTACAGGGCTCAGACTGGGGTGACACCCAAGTGAGGGTAAATAACGACAAAGTTTAAGCTGCCAGCCAGGGAAATTTCTGATTTCAGTCTGTTTTGCTTTAAGTGCAAACCTAGGGTTTGTCTGGGTTAAGTTATCGTTCCTGTAGCTCCTGTGATTGTTCTTTCATGCCCATTGCAGCTACATCAGAACGCTGAGGCAAAAATGAAACCCAGCCCTTCAGATGACAAGCGTGAAAAGGTGTAATTGGGGCAGAAAAGGTCTTGTTTTAAATAAAAACCAACAAGTACAACTGTAGCTCTTCTAAACTAAAATACTGCGATTTGACCTTTGCTCTGTGTTAAACATCTGTGGAAATTCTGGAAATTGGAGCTTCTGTTGCTTGTATAAATATTATTCCATGAAACACGGAATGCTTCATTTTTGTAATCAGATCACTTCCTAAGACCTGCGTGCCTTTCTAATGAGCTGCTTGGTTCTGCAATGTAAGCAAAGCTTTCCACAAGAACAGGTTTCTTATTAACTTCTGGTCCTGTCTTGTTTGAGGTCATGGCCATTTCTCTCCAAAATATTAAATTGCTGCAGTTCTAATGTCAGTGCTTGAGATAACTTGAAATTAAGCCCTCGTCTTGAGTATCGATCTCTTTCAGTTAAAGCATTGTTGGTTTACAGGAGATAGATTGTTTACAGCATCCAGAGGGTAACAGCTACTAGCGTTTGTCTTGTTAGGTGTACGTTGCTTTAGGTTTGATCAGGTTTTGCTTAGCTCTTAATGGAATGAACAGAAGCAATCTCACTGTCTGGACAATCCTAGTGAAAGGAAAAATCTATGTACATAGGCATGCTGAAGTATTCTATACACTCTAAGAAGGCTTTCTGACTCCTATGGGACCTTCTGTTTTCTCCCTTATATCTCAGAATGGAATTAGTATTTCATTAAAATTATTTGGAACGTGAGAATATGGAATATCTCCTTTGCAAAACATAGTTTCAAAAGAAAAAAACCTCACTGGGAGCTAAGCCATGGGTGAGGATCCTTATTCTCTGAAAATATTAATGGAGAGTAAGGAATCCCTCACTGATCTCCCCTTGAAGTAATTGTGTCAATATAGATCTGCTTAGAAAATTACTCCCTTTCTTTGCCTTCAGTGTAAGCTCAGCTTTGGTGGCAAAGGAAATGTTTCGTTTATTTGCCCTTCAGTTAGTCCTGAAAAGTCAATACCGTTACAGGAGCTGAACTGGTATCAGGCAAGGACAAGCTCTCCTTTCAGTGACACCTACGAAACACAAAAAAAGCCCACAGTGGCATTACATAAGTATACACGAAACTTAAAATCTAGTAACGGATTCCTGCTGGCAACACTTGGAACAGGAGAGAGCAGGTGTGAGCTGTTGGGGATACACTGACTCTAGTGTTGATGTGGGGGGGATTTACCTCTGAACCCAGTGAACTTGGGTGGTCGCTGAGCCACCGTGAACTTCAATTTGTGTTAGGGAACTGTGCCCCCATTCATAAGGATTTATTCTTCAGCCACATGTTCTAAGGAGACAGAGTGGATCTGGGCTTTAATATTGTAGGAAGAAAGCAAGTGAAGCATCCTGTAGGTGATTTGGCATATATTTATATATTTGGCATACATAAATACATATGTTTGGACAGACATATATATTTAGGACAGGAGGAAATAGAATGAAGCTGCCTCGGGGAAGTTCAGACTGAACACTAGGAAAAAGCTCTTCACTGGCAGGGTGGCTGGTCCATGGAACAGGCTCCCCAGGGAAGTGGTCATGGCACCAAGCCTGTCAGAGTTCAAGGAATGTCTAGATGATG